GGCATGTCTGGAGTAGCGATATGTCTACTTTTTGCGAGGGACCAGAACCGAGAGTGATGCAAGTCTAGCACTTCCTGTTGTGTCGTAGGAAAGCTCGCAGCCTTCTAGAAGAGTAGTGCACGCATGATGTCGTGGCCATGCAAGTCTGAGTTGGTTTTTCGGTCTGGATTGCTGCGCGACGACTACCATGGTCGAGACTACCGCTTCAAGACGGCGAAGGGAGCCAGCGCAATGCTAAGGGACGCCGTTGAAGCCTACGAAAGTATTGATTTTCCCAAGTGTGGTGTTTCGCGGCGAATCTGTAACGTGACGGGTAGATCGGCAGAATCCAGGACCGGGGGCTCAGAGTGTCGTGTGCAGGCGGAGGTGGCAAAGCGCCGCGCGATTCCAAGCCAAGCTGCGTCAGGCACTTGACGTCTCACGCCGATCTCACAATCACGCCAATCCATCATCACACATCGACGCCTTTCCTTCACCCTCACCCACGACGGCGCACTGCTACCGACGGCAATTCGCACCTTCACCACGCCCCATCGCGTCGCTGCCCTGTCGCCAGCTCTGCCAGCCATCCGCCGCGGCACGTCAACGAGTGGTTACCGGCCCCCACTGATCCGTCCAGCGACTCCACTGGACGACTTCATCCCGGAACGAGCGCTGCTGCGCCCATCGCACCCGCCCTCACCGAGTCGCGACCCCCATAGCATCTCGCTATGCTGCCTCAAGAACCGCTGCAAGCGGGCTCGCCGCACACGACTCTGTCCAGATCCTACTACCCGACCGGCAATGCGCCCTTTGCGCATGCCACCATCCTTACCGGACAGCCGGCCTCACAGCTCGATGACGTGCGGATATCAAGATACAACAACACCCTTGGCTCGACGGCCAAGGGCATCATGATAGGCATATTCTCCGTGCTTGGCGCCGCGGGCGTGTGCCTTATCATTGCCGCCATTGTCTACTACTTCCGCTACACCAACACAGGACGCATCTTCCTCGACCGGATAACGCGGCCTGGTGAATATGACGACGAGCAACAGTTTGCCAAGGAGGAGGCCGAGGCGCTAGACGATATGGACGACCTGCAAAGAACAGAATACATGAGAGCGAAAGGTATGCCAGGCAGGTTATTGTGCAGGGAGAGCACCAGCTAACCTCCACAGCTTTTGTGCAAGCCAACCCGCCCGAGTCCGTTCAAACCGACATATCACTATCGCAGTTCTTGGCTATACAAGAGAAGGGAGTGTCCGCCTGGGAATTTGAGCCCGAACTAGAGATTGCCAACTGCTTTGTCGAAGGCCGCACGGAAATTGAGTTCTTCGATTCGGAGTGCAGCGTCCAGAGCAACCTCCCGATCCCGAAGCAAAACGAAGTCTACTACTGGGAAGCCAAGGTCTACGAGAAGCCCGAGAACACTAGCATTGCGATTGGCGTCACAACGAAGCCGTACCCGTTGTTCAGACTACCAGGTATGTCTAAGACGACGTCCTACCTTTCACTCTTTTACTAACATTTATCAGGATACCACAAAGCCTCGATATCGTACATGTCCAACGGAAACCGCCGATACAACCAGCCCTTCCAACCCTCCGCTTACGGCCCATCTTACGTGCAAGGAGATGTCATTGGTGTTGGATACAGACCTCGAACAGGAACAATCTTCTTCACGCGAAATGGAAAGAAACTCGACGACGTCGCCCACGGACTCAAGACACAAAACTTTTTCCCCACCGTAGGCGCAAACGGCCCATGCCAAGTTCACGTCAACTTCGGCCAAATGGGTTTCGTCTTCATCGAAGCCAACGTCAAGAAATGGGGTCTAGCCCCCCAAACCGGCAGCCTCGCACCCCCACCTCCCTACGGCAGCGAACAAGGATCCATACTCCTCGACTCCGGTCGCGAAGGCATAAGAGAAGGCATGGGCGGAAGCTACATCCAAGCCGGCTTCGGCCACGGCCGCTCCAGTAGCCAGCAAATGCGTCTCGGACGCCAAGTGCCAACGAGTCCCGGTCCGCAACGCAGTCCGACCGACATCTCATTAGCCGCCCTTAGTCTGGTCGATTCCAACGAAGATGTCGGTGAAGGGGCGAGCCATGACGATCACGCGACAACCACAATCCCCGTAGACCAACGCCAGGGTCTTGGTCTCCTGTCACCAGGCGAACTCCCTCCTGAGTACAGTAGTCCTGTTGGCTCGCCCAACCTGCGCAACACGGCCGACCACGAAAGAAACGGATACTGGGACGAGCGAGCACCGCTTCTACAGAACCAGCAGCAGTCTGGCGAAAGAAGTCCACCGGTTCCGAGCTATGATGCCGCGATGGCTGATACACCAGAGATACGGCGTCCTGCTATCAGAGTGAGGAGCGCGACGGAGGCTGGTGTGAGACCGCGTGGACCCCGCTAGACGAGCTGGAAGTCATTTTTCTTTTGTGTTACTCTACTCTCCATTGTTTTGACGAATCTGAGAGGAAGATTGCGTCTTTTCACTATACCCTATCGCTCAAATTTCTCCTTTTTCCTATCTTTGTCGAGGCTGGATCCATCTCATTGCGAAGGATCATTATGGATCGAACGCACCGCTGTGGGGACTTTCTCCATGGACTGTATGGGTGGCAGCGAAACATATCTTTGAGCAGGCTGATCTGCTATGGTACATCCTATTTGGCGTTCTGGAAGCGAGCATTGTTACGTTTATTTTTGCTTGCTTTCTGGGGGGAGTCACGAATGATTAAGCACACGAATACTCTTGTTGCTGGCGTTTTGATAAGGGATAGATTGGCTCGATGTGCGTTGAAGCGTGGTCAAATTGGATTGCGGCTGGCTTTGGCTACTCATGTGGTAGCTTTTGGGTTGTAGTAGTAAAGCGACAATTTGTTTGGATTGTCAATACACACATTCATACACGCAGCCCGAGGTATGTGCATGAAGTTCCTATGGCGCATAACCGATTCTCAAAAGTCGACTCGAGAGGGCTGCCGGTGAGCTCGAAAGCTCCTTCCAAACCGGTGAGACTTCCTGACCGGATGGCGAACCCTGCCAATCTGGCCCGTAGCAAGGCAGCTTCTACCGACGAGCATCTTCATTCGCATCTTCGACAACACCAGCATTTTGGGACCTGCTCCGATTACGCGGCTCGTCTTTCATTTCCAGAAGCTAGCCAGCTAGAGCATTTCTCAAAGCCAGCCACTGATCTAGATGCAAGCTCCTTTCACACATTCTCGACGCTTAGGTGCTCGAACGACCTTTGTCCCTTGCTGGTATTGACATGGCATCTAGCATCGCTGGGCGCATGTGATGCGCTGACATCTCTTACTAACTTGATATCAGATAAATTCCCTACCTAAGTATTGACGACACCATGGCATACGTCTACCCCCCGATACCGCTCCAACGCACGCGTCGGCCGCTACCACCGCGTCCCTGCTCTCGGCCTTAGCACAACATACAAGGCTTACGAGTTTTTCACACCCACTCAGAACCTCATACGATTGCTGTGCGGTATGGCGGTGCCAAGCAGGGACTCAAAGAAAGACATACGATAAATCAGAGTAGCGACGCAGGCGGCCCATCCTTCGCCATCACAAAATGCAGGTTGCCGTTAGTTGCGCGATCAATTACAATGGCTCGGCATACGTACTGTGGACAGCCAACCACAAAGTCAGCAGGGCCACCACACACCGCTTCGCATCCCACGCTGTTGGCTTCTGCTCCTGCGGCCTTTTGGAAAGAAGTCAAGTCCAATAGTATCGTATTTGATCGCTAGGAAGCTGGGCGGTCGGATTTGAGAGAGCAATCTGTAAGGCATGCTTCTGATCTTTCACTAATCCATGATATAGTCATACAAGGAATACATCTCCTTACTTGCACTGCATCCAGTAACTAACTTTGCGTGGACCCCTTTCCACCGACGGGCTATCAGTTGACATTACTGTTCAGTGGCTGGCTTGCTTCGCCACGGCTCCTTCGTGTTTTGGCCGGTTCCTTGCCGCCAGCAAAGGCGCGAGCGAATCACCGACGATTGTTAGGAACTTGTTCGAACCGAAAAGGAAGCTCTAGGCTACGATCGTGAGGCTTATGAGCACAGTCATCGCTGCCATCAAAGGAACGAGCGAATTACCGACGATCACTGGGAACTTGTTCGAACCAAGAAGGAAGCGCTAGGCTACGATCGAGAGGCTTATGAGCACAATCTGTCGCTTGTCTTGGTCTTTAAGAGCTGAAGTGCCTTTATACCAACTTCTGGAGTTGACGGAGAAATGATGCTTCTTTTCAGATTGGTTGCCGGCGCTTGGTCTCTTGAAGACGGCAATGAGTGAACGGTAATCCGTTGGTGGTGGTAGTGGCTGCGGATGTAGTGTTCGAGTGAGGAACCACATTTTTGGAACCAGAATTGTCTGCGCAAATAGACATACTTGTCAGCGAATTCCAGACCTTGGTACCTGTACAGCATCATGGTGGCGCCGAAGTTCCTTTCATCGCCATGAATTTCAGCCACTTACCTAGGGCCTTGGCAAATCTCGGCTACCCGGCCGCCTTGTGCACTAAGTGCAAGCTCATTATGACTGACACATCCGCACCAACTATCAACCTTGGAAATGACCACCTTCTGGTTGGGTCCAACTCCTTAATTCTGGTACGGTTGATTCAGTTCCATCTCAACCACGGGTACGACATCATGCATGTTGTAGCCATAACGCTGCCTTGAGACGATTGGAAGTATAAATTGTTCTTCGTTCGGAGATACTCCCACACTCATATACACATGCATCGACCTGAGACGCCAAGTACCAAACACACGATCTACGAACACAAATCGCCCTTCTCATACTATCGAATCGCGCAAATATACGAATTCGTCCCTATTTCGAGGTTGCTATACTTGCTAAACCAGAGTGAGGATCTAGCGCTCACGACGAGCTTTATTTGGCTTTCGCTCTTACGTTATCTTGAACGCACAGTATATCACCACCACCTACGATACTTTCCACCGTACAAGAGCAATGTCCACGGACATTTCATGGGCGGACAGCCCATGGCGCAATCCCGCCATCGTTTTCGAGGAGCTACCAGAGTCGCTCATCCTCGAAGACCTAAAACGATCATGGAACTTCCAGAGAGAGGCACAATTCCGCTGGATGCAAAAGGTGATTTGGACCTCGGTTGACCGCTTTCGTGTAGTCCTTCGAGACGTCGAAGGCACGGTAGGCGACATAGCAAAAGAGCTGTGTAACAAGCCTACGGCATTCTATTGGCTTCAGTCTGCGCAGACTGGTGCTCCCCACGCCCCCGAAAAGTCCTGCATGTCCGGTGGTGTCTTCGCAGCTATATATGAAGAATGGCGTCGAAGCTCTGTCAAACTCAATATCGAGTTTGGGCATTTCTTCGCGGCGCCCGTTAGGGTTGCGGCGACGGGTCCGGACAGCCTACCAGATATCTTGAAGGCACATTCATCGCTTTTTGAACAAGCACAGCGTGTCTCGTTGGATATGGAGAACTACTCCGTGCACCCGCTTCTTCCTGCTGTTATCCTCGTATGCGACCGCCGTGACTCAACCGCTAGACGCGGACCAGATGGCTTCGTCAGTCTGCGCGAAGTAGCGAGCACGCAGACTGTGCTGGTTATTCTCACTGGAGAACATCGTACCAGCACCGGTATCCACATTTCTCTAGATCCTCTCAAACCCTTCGCTCTGCCCATCGAAAGACCCGATGCCGCTGGCCTTGATATCCTGCGCGTGCCTCTTGATATCGCCGTGAATTTCATCACCGAGTTGGAGGCCAGGATTGATGAGCAAAAGGAAACCATCAGTGCAACTTTAGACAAGAGTCTCTGTCTGCACCAAACACCCGCCGGATACAGTGGCGATATCAGGTTTTACCCCAATGTATGGGCTCGCATAATGCGGGCAGAGGCGTTGAAGAATGGGTTTCGGGAGTTGGCGGATACAAAAGATGCTGGCGTTCGCGTTCATGCTCAGCTTTCTGGACAAGAGTCGGGATGTGAACTTGAACATGTGCCGTTTAGTCAGACGTGGAAGCCGTGAACTCACATGCGTTATTGTTCTTACTTTCTGACTTGAGATTGAGGCACACACTGGGAGCAAAGCTTGATATGGATTTATCAGCAGTGGCAGAAAAGCTAGTGCGTTTGTAAGCTGTAAGACTATCTTTCGCATCTCTAAGGGCGCGTTGCTTACATTCTTGTTCCGCCTTTTAATAATCCTGTCATTTTGATGCTTCGGTGGGGGAGAGAAGAGAAGGAAGGAACGAAGGAGAGAAGAAAGAAGCTACATATACGATGCACGAAGAAAGAGCTTCACGAACTGTCCCTACCTCTTGATGTTGTGTTTACCATCGCCTTCCAGGCTTTATCATCTGTAGACCGCACCGTAACTTTCGCAAGATGTCAAACCCTCTCAAAATCTACGAAACCGCGATCACGAACGGAAAGCGGCTACGCAAAGAGCAAACCAGTTTTCGAGATCAGCCACGTTTGCCCGCCTCGCTCGCATCGTGCGGTTGCGAGTTCGGATCGGCGAGATTACGCTCCAACATCAAGAATTCTCTTAGAACGATGTTGCAATCCTGCGACATGATGTTCAGTAATTCGACCTATGTTGAAGATCGCTCTGTGAGTAAAGAGGAGTAACGAGGGGATGATGGTGGCGTGGTACTGATCGTGTAGCAAGATACATCCGGTCCCAAAAGTGGCCCTGAAGGCGACGACCGGTCAAGGTACCCAGGTAGCTACAAGATGCCCCGCCACTGATATATCTTCAATGATGCAACCATGTCGCTTTCACGTGCAGGATTTGGCTTGGTTGTTGCTGCCTTCCAGATGCGTGAGGCGGGGTTGCTCAGCCCCTCCGCAGTCGAGCTGACAGTGAGGCAGTGAGGCGCGCCACGAGCATCATCGATCCATACATCTGCCGCCTTCCTCGCTCGACTTTTACTGAATACAAGCCACTGTATCTCTCTTTTTGACTGCCGTTATCCTCCGTGTAGTCTTCACGCGACGTCACGTAATTGCATCTCGTTTTACTGTTATCGTTGTCATCTCCCGGCTTTTGCTCAATAGCACGCGCCTGCATGTTTCATCGCCATGACCAGCATTGCCTTTTCCGGAAATGGAACTCAATATGGACCTTCTAATTTTGAGGTTAGCGGGTTCTATGGTCCAGGAGGATGGGCAGCTTGGTGCATCAGCCTTGTAGCATCTTGGGCACCGAACCTGCTCGAGGACTACACGCATAACTTCCACGTTATCGCGTACGCGCTATACATGAATTGGGCAGCCCTGGATTCTTCCCGATTCCTGTTCTTGGGACGAAAGTTTGATGAACTGGCTTCTAAGAAGAAGAGGTTAGATCGGGAACACTTCATAAGTTTCACAAACGGGAATGATACATTGATCTTCCAAAGGCACTGGGCATCGGATTCGGACAATTATAGAGTATGGGAAGTGGACACAGTCCCAGCAACGAAGAATATCACGCATCAAATACTGGGAGCCGAAGTTGAACTCAGTAATATGACAGGATCGTTCCCTGGACTATGGGACTATTACACAATTCCTACCACGACAGATCTTACGATCCAACTTAAAAAAGCCGAAATTAAACTCGCCTATACCACAGTAGTCCTCGATCAACAAGAGACATCACTCTGGAACCAATTGCACCAACTACAGGCAGCACTAGCAACTTTAAATGTTGGTATGCTACATTCGGGGGCACAGCTGTTTGTCCGCCTCTCATCGATCCACGAATATACTTCCACGGAGGCAGTCACATCATGCCGAAGGCGCAACTTGATCATAATGACGGGCCTCATCCTTCCTTCGATCATACAAATCATCGATATGGTGTTGAATAATAGAGGTGTCATAAATGGATGGTCAGGCCCCTTAGTATGGTCAACGGGAATCGTGGGACTGACTACCTCTTGGTGTCTTGGATACAGTTACGCTATCGCTCCGCAACTACCTAGCCTGGGTACTGTAACCTGGTGGGCTGTTGCATCAATCTACGCACTCGCTATCGCAGGGTTTTACGGCCTCTACTTCTGCTCACTTTCATGCATGTATGTCGAGGGACCGAGATGCGGCTTTATGCCACACATGTCCTCTAAGATCACGGAGGTGGACCAGGCGTTCGCTTTGTATGCTGCACTTCTTTATCTTGTGTATGATTTCCGTTCATACATCGTTGGGTTTCTCAAGTCTCTGAGGCTTCACTTTGAGAAGTTGGTGTTTGGGGCTAGTGCACATGACAACATATGGGCTGGCATGCCGCTCGGTTTGCCGTATTAATGGCAGCGTGTCTACAAAAGGCACTTGGAAGTGAAGATAAACGGGAGGAAAGTACCTAAGAACTCATTCCTGACCGTTGCGAAGAAATCAATAAGCATGTTCTACCTTCACATACCCGGGGCATACCTCACTCTTCGAAGAATCCAGTTCCCACACAACTTATGACACAACCACCCATCCATCCACCATCCACAGCACGAGCCGCACAAACCACACACCCACATATCCACATCAAGCGCCCGGTACCGCCGATGAACATTGACAGCTGAAACTCCCCTCTCCCCCCCACCTTCACCAGCATGTAACATCGCCCACGATCTGAAACACATGCACCGGTATCAGGCCACCCAATATTCATGGAGAAATCCATAGACTACCGTATCTCCCATGCCGAACGTCCATGCTGAACGACCATGCATTCACGACTCGCCGAAAAGCGAAAGAATCCGTGAGTGGTCACTGACTCAGCATACCGGTCGTCGATCACGTGTGGGGTCACATAATCTATTGAAAGAACCTTGGAATAGCGAGCAAGGCTAATCGGCCTGATTACCTGCCAGATGAGTGATATTACGGCCGAGGCCGAATGTTTCAGGTTACGGAGGACATCATTGCTCGCCGCAGTCGCAACATGACGATTGGCAATGTTTGGTTATGTATCAGGTTACGATATCATTAGCTGTGGTATACATGGTCGGTTGGATGCGAGTTATTGGTATTGGCATTGCCTTTAGGCTTATTGGGGTGAATGATAGTTGTAGTGATGTATGTTTAGGTAAGGTTCAGGCGGGTGGGCTTGCATAGGCAGGCGGGTTTGTAGTGGGCGATATATTGGCAATATGGAGGATTGGAGGGGTGAGTATGATGTGGTGGTGGTGTGTGTCTGGGATGTGAGATCGACGATACACAGTAGATATGCGTGGATATCAAAACGTTGATTTTGCAATCGTGGTGGTGCATGTTCGGCCGGTGGATCAACACCCCCAAAGCGTTCGGAGGAATTGACAGCTCACATCACAGTGCACGCAATGGCCCGTGAGGGCGGAGAAGAGGAAGTGTCTGTGTGATTCTCTGTGTCGCCTGCCACACTTGCCGGTAGAATCGCTTCCGCGCCAATGGTAGCTCAGGGTGCGACGCTTTTTATAGCTCTGGGCCGACGGGTGGAGAGGGATGCTTTGCATGGTCGTGCAGATGCAAAGTGTGGCTTGCAGATGGCTGGGGAATGTGTATTGCGCGCGCGCTGAAAACTCGACATTTTGTGTCAAAACTTGCATTTGGTAACCGGCTTGGCTGCGATGTCTTGTTGTCGTGTGACTGACGGTGTGGTGTCGCGACATGAAGCCTCTTCAGACGTCATAAAATGTATGTATAGTAACGTCCGGATGTTTTTTGTGGTTGCTGAATCGCTGAGTCGGTTAGTAGTGCGCTGGCTTAGTGTACGCTGGAGCTATGCTGAGGCTACGCTGAAAAGGCGAATAGGCCATCGGAAAAGACCGATGCGACGATGGACGAAAGATGCGAGTGGAGAGGTGTCTTGTAACCCTAGTCGCAGAACCCCAGAGAAAACATGGCTGCATGGGTAGCCCTAGATGCATGGTCGGCTGCAAACTCCCAGGGTAAAAGGACCTTAATCCTAAGAATAGCCACCACGGATCTATGACAACCAAACACCAGCTCGACGTAGGCGTGTGGCTGAAGGAAGACTAGCCTGCGAATACACATGTTGTCGCATGAACCTGCTTTCGCGCATTCCGCTATGTCATCTAGTAGAGTTTTAGCCTCGGTGGTTGCAAGAGGTAGCTGGTAGGTAGGCGACGGGTGCCGCCGCGATGCCACTGGTTCCTGGTTTAGAACTCGTATCTCGTGGCAGCTACTTGTGCTCCACCACGCGACGGTCGCGACGGTATCGCGCGTATAGACAACGTCATAGGTACAGCCCTATGAGGATGTCGGCGACGAAATCGAGATATCGTCACAGCAGCTGCGATGTGTGGATGCAGGCTGTTGTGTCAGGCGCCCACGAGCAGGGTCGCGTAATTACTCAGTTACTGTATAGGCCCCGCCAGCAAGCATTCTCCGCTGCATGAGATATTGCCAGACGCGGGGACATTGAATTACCCAGTACCTAGGTATTGCGATGGTGTCGCCAACCGAATAGGCGATGCTACAGGCGAAGTCACCCACTCGTGGCACTCGTCGGAGCGGAAGTCACGCTTATTCATCGCGCGGCGCCCTTCCGTCGATAGCGGAGACAGGAATAGAGCGAGGTCCGCCGCCACTGCTCGGCGCAACTGGATGCGAAGGAGCGGTATGCGCATAGCGGCGTGAGGATGGGCCAGCGTAGTATCGATGGAAAATCAGCGCGATGAAAGTGTAGACCCTTTTTGCGTGCGGTCTGGTGACAGGTGACGCACGGAGGGCTATTTTTGACCGCGAGATATTGAGGGCCCCGGCTTCCGCAGTGTTTAGCGATCGCTGGTGGCATCGCATCAGCAACGTCAGTCTGATTCGACCGACGACGCTGGCAGAGTCCAGCTTCGCATTTCGCGTTGATGAGATCTCGGGCATCCATGTCGCCCGTGGTCGCCCGTCCGCCGTCACGCGTGGGCGCTGCCACCTCACTCAGGGCTCTGGAGCTGTCTGAAAAATTAGCAGCGCGCGCGCCCCGAAGCTGACCCGGCGAGCAAGCATGGCGGCCTCCTTCACCCACTATTCCGCAGGCGGCTTCCAACT